ATATCATACAACACTAACCACTGCTCAATGCTACAGAAAGCAACACTGACAGTATGCTGATTAGAAAGCAACTGATGGCTAAATCCTTTCCGTTTTGTCTCGACAGGAGAGTCTTCCTCTCTGGCAGCTGCAGGTCCAGTGGAGCGTGGCCAACCAGAGTCCTGAGGAGACAGAAGCTGTCTTTAAGGTAGTCCATATGAACACACCTGATTCTCTTTGAAACTAACTGCTGCTGCTCCTCATATCTTTTGACAGCATTAGCAGGTATGTATCTTTTCAGTGACAACTAACAGGTTGTAAACTTTTAGCACAGATTTACAGGTATTTGTTTGCACTGTAACAACACTTTTGGCTTAGGTGGAAAAGCAGGCATAGTCATTATTTTGGTTAGTTATGGAATATGTTGTACACAGATATACTGAGGTTAGAAAAAGCAGGTTCTTTTCTGGATAATACCGGCAGGTGAATACTTAAAAGATGAAATGGAATCGATGAATAGCCCCTTACATCTGCAGTGTTTTGGCCTCCGAAATGAGGATGCCTTGCAGACAGTTTGTTCTGTGTTTGTTCCCAGAGAGGTCAGCTGTCTGCAGTACCGGCTGTTTCCATGGAGATGAAAGAGAGCTACCTTGATTGGTCATTCTCCACCGGAGGCTACAAGAAAGCAAGGAAGGCCTTTACAAGGTAAAAACATTTCACTTTGTCTGCTGCTGTTTAATTTAAATGATGAATAACAGGAAAGGGAATTTAATCAGTCCCAAAACACTGGTGTGAATACAAAATAAAGTCTGGAGAAGTGTTTCCTGTAACAAAGCTGTACATTTTAAATTAAGAAAATGTTTATTTTCTTCTGTAGCTTACAGGAAAATCGTCCCCTGTCCAAGGCCTTTTTCACCACAATGATTAATATTGAGAAGGAACAAGTGAGTATAGAAACTACTTTTTGTAACGTGTAAAATCTCCTGCATAACCTGCACCTCAATCTTTAGGTCGGAGGTGGAGAACAGATCATGTGACAATAACTCGTACTCTAAGCGGAAGTTCGATTTACAAATTGTTACAGATGTTGCGGAAGACTTTGAACAAAAACCAAGAAATTGTGGGGACAGTTATTTGGTGAACTTGATATTATTTGTACTACCAATAAACTCCTGAAAAAAATTGAGCTGTAAATGTTGTTTGTTCTTCCAGGAAACTCCAAAGATGAACTTTCTGAGAGACTACTTTGAGAGGGCCCTGCAGGAGTTTGGTACCTCAGATGACGGTGAGCAGAGTTTAAATTCCTTAAAGTAACTAGAAACAAAAGGAGTAACGTTTGTTAAAAATATTTATTCACAAAATCCTGGCAATCAAGTATAGAGGACTAACATATAACAAGACGTGTGTCAATGCCAAATACAGTATTAGTTATATGACCAGATATAGAGTGGAGGAAATAAGTATTTGATCCCTTATATATATTATATAAAAGATACAAATCTCATATGTCAATTTCTGGATTTTCTTTTTGATATTCTTACTCTCACTGTTAAAATAAATCTACCATTAAAATGATAGACTGTTAATTTCCTTGTAAGTGGGCAAACTTACAAAATCTGCAAGGGATCAAATGCTTATTTCCTCCACTGTAGCTGACATCTGTTCACAAAATACATTTAAAATACAATCTTAGACTTGAAATGTATCTGTGGCTGGATCCCAAACACACTTTTAATCTGGTTTCAAGGCCAAAGGAAACCTTTTTAATTGGGATAAATGGAAAAAGCCTTGTTGGGTATCAGATTGTTTTATTTTCCTGGCACTATCTTTCCTTAAAATGTTTTGTTGTTTTTATTTCTCTGAAGATTTGTGGCTGCAGTACATCCAGGAGGAAATGGGAACCTTTGGTCAGCCAGAGAACAGTGGCAAGATCCACTGGAGAGCCATGAAGTTCCTGGAGGGGGAGAGCGTGGAGAGGTTCACCTGCAGGTTTACTCTGATGCAGACTGGACACTTATGAGTCACCTAAAAAGGTCCAAGTAGTATCGTAAGTTCCCATAGCAACAGCCAGTGTTCAACAATTGTGTAGAAGTTTATCAGCAGGGTCATGGTTAGTGCTGTGACCATCCATGAGTTGTTTCATTGCCTTCAGGCCTGTTGAATATTCTTCAATTGTTCCAGCATTGTTGGGTAAAATGTTCTTGAAAGGGCAGTTGTATTTTGCAGCTGTAATTTAAAACTTTCCATTTTCATTTATGACAGTTTGTTACCACATTTGATACCATACTGATGTTGGTAGCATGTAATATGGTAAGGATGTCCAGTTTTATAGAGTTCCACATTTATTTGAAATGTTGTGAAGCCAACTTTGATGCTGTTATGATATTAAAACAGTCTTTCAATATGTCCTGGTCCCTCTGAGACATTACACATGTACACAGAAAAACACACTTTCTCTAAACTCTGTATTCACACAGCAGTAGTTTTTAATGACCCACCACTTCTTCAAATAGTTATCTTGGCAGGAATAGTTGGTTAATTAAGTTACTATGACAAAACATATTTTATCTTCTTAAATTCACAAATGTAACGAGTAGGTGCAGTCGGTATAGAATATATTTCAAACTCCAACCCGAAAAAACATAAATACAAGCAGTAGCACTTTGAGATATCCATCACGTCTATACAATAATTCAATGGCCAGCTACAAGAACTGTCCATAAATATATATTTATAACTACTTTTTAAGGGCACTTCAAATTGTCGCATATCCCTGCAGAGGCACCCTCAGTAATGTTTAAGCTAGGAGGTATAACATGACAAATGTGGGATTTAGAGTCTAATAGTGTAGATAATACACCTATAAAATTGTATCGCAAAGGGATTTTAGGATGCAATTTCTTTCATTGGACAATCTCAGACAAATTAAATATCTTTACAGGCTTGGTAAAAGTTATCACAAAACGTACTCAACAATAATAGTCTCTAACTATTGAAATATGTTTATAGCAGAACTATGATGACAGTTTTCAAGTAAAATATCAATAAACAATTTAGTTTAAATTCAACACTATTAAAGAACCTCTGCACTCAGACACTAGTTCCTCCTGTTATCTCGGTCAGTCCTTGAAGAATATTAGTGCAAACTTAACAAATAATATTGCTAGTTAACACAATGTGCTAAGGCAGAAGTTATGGCTAATTATTATTTTCATTAATGTTCCCTTTTGAAAAGTTGTGAATCACGATGTTGAGGCATTTCCTAGACACATACAAAAGTATTCTCTATTTAATTGGATTATGAATAACTTTTTGAGGTGTTTTTTCCCATCATGGGACACTGTCTGAATAAAGACAGTGTGCCCATGTAGATGTACCCAATGTAAAAATCCCTCATTAAATGTCTGGTCAATGTTCTCAACCACACTGAACCCTAATGTCTGAATCTGGTCAGTCCACCCCTTCACACATCATCAGAGCTTCTTGAAAAAGACGTAAGTAAAGAGTACCAATACGCCTGTGGACAGAAGTCCAATCACACACTGGTGGATGGTGATAATGTCCTCCAGGGCGTGGATGCGCTCCTCCATGGCGTTGGTGTGAATGTAGTCATAAATGGAGGCCCCGATGCTCCAAATCCCCCATACAGCATCCACCAACGCTTTCATGGTGGGAGAAACCATCGTGAGGGGCGCCCGCATCCGCCACCTGTCGGCACCACTGCACTGCATGGAGAGTGAGGAGAGAGCACTGTGTGGGCACACTAATATCCACCAAAATTCACATCAAACATGAACAGACCATGTGATCCTGAGTGACTCCATCCGAGAAGATTATAAAAAATAGTTTAAAAAAAAGAGACCGTGTGAAGAGTTAAACTTCTGATCAACAAGCCATCTTTACACCAATGCACTCATTTTCTAAGATGCGTTAAAGAAACATTTTTTGAAGTATTCAACTTTTAATCAAGGTGAGTGTTTCTCTTTGATGCTTTTTTAAAGTTCTACTTCACTCAATTGCAGAGGCACATATTGCACTTTTTATTCCACTTGATTTATTTTACATGTACAGTTATATCTGCACATGTTAATTTAATTAAAAAAGTGTATTTCTGGGTTTAAAATAAGAGAGAGAGATAAGATAGTACTTTATTGATCCCAATTTGGGAAATTTTTGTGTTGCAGCAGCATAAAGACATGACATTGTGCAATACAAATTAAAAGATTATAGAAATAAACAAGAAAGTAGAAAATATACATGTTGAATTTACAAATTAACAAGATATAAAGCAAGTTATTATATTCACATAAGTATGTGAGATGGAATATTAAACTGAATGTAAAATGTACAGTGTGATTTTAAGTCCAAGAGAAACTATACATTAGAACTTTCCCAGGCTATAAAGTAAATATACTTCAAGTTGTTGCACTAATATATTCAATAAGTATAGATTTAACACTGAAAGCGGTAATTCTCTTTATAATTTCAGTGCGTTATGTTGACAGTAAAACAAACAAGATTGATTGCTTGTAATGTGTGGTCTTTATCTGCTTTAGCAACAGAGGCACAACTTTCAGTGTCTTTCTGCCTTAAACACAAAGGGGTCTTTACATACGTCTCCCTCTATCTCTGCACCAGTAAACTGACTATTGGTCAGTACTAAACTAGTTTCACGTGATCTGACATGAGATTAGAACATATAATAACAAGACGAGGATTGTGTTATAGCCTACATGCGAAGTCATTCATTTACAGAGAGAGACTCACCGCCGGGCGTCAGATGTTAATGTGATGGTGAAGACGATGAAGAAGATGAAGAACATCCGCCCTGCTGCTGCCGGAGTGATGAAACGATGCGATGTTTAGGAGAAGCCGGGCGTGTTCCTGTCAGGTCGCCTCCAGAGTCGGACATTGCTGTTTGACGTCGAATCAAACACTTCGCTTCCGGTCAAACCTTTTAAAATACGATTCATCTATTTCCCAAGCAGTTACACGATATATTAGTCACAAAATGTGCCCAAATGCATATAAAAAGAACACGAAAGAAGGAGTGTGACGCAAAAAAAGGTTACATCTGCAACTCGGGTAAATAATTCAGGACAAAAGTTTCAGGTCTTTCTTTTATTTTGGTAGGACAACAACCAATTTCCGGTATTATTGTGGGCTCCTTGTCTAAATGAAGCAGCCGACTCAAACCATTAACCATATGATAGAGTACGTAACCAACTAAAAGTGAAGCATGTCACCGAGAAACAAAATAATATTGTAATAGAATGCAACATGTAAAAGTATGATAGCAAATACTAAATACTAAAAAGAATGAGATAGAAATGCATTATATCCCGTTAGATAACAATAATAGTTAAAAACACAACAATACAAGATGACATGATACCATACAGAATATTATATTGCAATGCAGTGGTGTAAAGTTACTAAGTACATTTACTCCTGGACTGTACTTCAGTACAATTGTGAGGGACATGTACTTTACTTGAGTATTTTAACGTTTTGCTACTTTGTACTTCTACTCCACAATACAAATCAGAGATAAATGGTGTACTTTTATTCTACTACATTTATTTAATATCTTTGGTTACTTGCAGATTTGGATTAATGATGTGAAATATAAAAACACTTGACGAAGACTTTAGTCACAGCTGGAGTAACATTTACAACCCTGCAGTATCTAAAGCCATTAAAACTGCCCCTTTACCAGCACTAAAAAACACATTATTTCATCAATAATTATAATCAAAACATAATATAATATATAATAAATGGGCCAATCTGCATAATGAGTACGTATAAGTACATTGAGATGCCACTCTTGTACTTTAACTTGAGGAACATTTTGAATGAAGGACTTTCCCTTGTAACAAGGTATTCCTAGACTCTGCACTTCTACTTTTATGTACACGATCTGAGTACTTCTACTTTATTTAAGTACAAGATCTGATTACTTCTACTTTTATTTAAGTACAATATCTGAGTACTTTTCACACCTCTGGTGGCTAACAAAATTGATGGTAAGTCTGGTACTGACACACATCACGAAGAGTATTCAACTCTTTTATCCATCTATGTTTGACCAAAAACCAACACACTTCTACTGTAAGTTTAATATGGATAGTTACCTTAAAAAAAAAAACACTTAAAAACCTCCAATCTTCTCCTTTAATGTAATTAGGATAAATAAACATGTTTTTATTAGTTTGCACACTTTGTCTACATTACTCTGACTATCCTTTGATTGATTACACATTCAATTTACAATTATAGTTGTGAACATGTTTGTTTTTTTGTATTTTCAGCGGATTTGAAGGTGACACAGAGAAGCTTTAACTTTGGGAAGAAGCAAGGAATCCCATTTTACTTTGTATCTGCGGCTGATGGGACGAATGTAGTTAAGGTTTGCACTTCTTATTCTCTTCCAGTGTTCATGTCAGTCATCCCCAGGATCATTTTTTAATGCATTTCAATCACATCAGCAGTTTTACAGTTAACTGCTTGTCTTGATACCACACCTTTTATGAATTGCCCATACAGTTGAACCCATTTGTGTTATTTCTTCTGACTGTAACTGTCCCAACAGATGTTCAGAGAGATGATCACGAGAGCAGTGGAGTACAAGCAAAACCCCAGCGACTTCATGGATGAAGTGTTGCAGGAATTAGAGGTACATCCCTCTAAATTAAAAAAAAACAATCCGAGTAGTTTTATAAATACCTAACTGAAAGATGTAAATTGCAAGAATTGACAATGCAGTGTGCTCTAAAAAAAACAAACATAATTAGTGTAAAATCTGCTGTTTTAATTCTCAGATGTTCTTATTCCAAACCTATTTGTGAGCTCCAACAAAACTAACTTTTTTTAACTACTTTTTAGTTTGTCTGAAAACACTTTCATATTGATGTCATTTGCTGCACTTTTCTTATAGAACTTTGACCTGGAGGAGAAGGAAGATCCCGAAGCGGATGAGGTTGGATTGAAAACAGAAAGTCCTGAGTTGGAGTGACCAACGGTTACGGATCCTCCTAAACCTCTAGCCTCTACTGGCACATTGTTTGTCCTTATGTCACATTCGTTGTCTACTTTGATACCTATGTTTTCTAACTCTATCACTGGAGGTTGGAGTTTTTAGTCAGGTTTTCAGTCACTGCTCTCCATCTGTCCAGTGACATTGGCAGGGAAATAAACCTGGTGGAATAATTAGGAATTGTGTTGTTTACCAAGTTTATTCAGCTGCTGTTTTAAACTTGTCATTCATACTTTGTATCTACTACAATACTAATGAACAATTCTACAATGAGGCTGAATGTATTTTAATTTGTAATAAGAATGTGAAGCATTGGAAACTGTCTCACAGATCAAAGAGAACGTGTGATTATGATTCAGATTTGCTGCTGTTCTCGATGTGTGTGTGTTTCGTTGTGTGCAGTGCCAGCAGTGAGCAGCCTCAGATGGCTGCTTTTGTTGCATTAGTTTTAGGATGTAAAGTCTGTTTTCACTACACTTTTAAATGAAAACTTAATGTACCATGTAACCCAATTGTTATCCTGTGTCTCTTTCTGACTTGCTGTGGTCCAGAAGTGGGCATTAAGTCGTGAATTTCAGCATATTATAAAATGCAACAGCCAGCCGTACGTGAGTAGACAGCAGTTGCATTCATCTCTTGTGAAATGCTCAGCCAGCTGTGTCCTCTCTGATGGATTTGTGAAGGCAGCACTCATTCATATTAGCAGGAATGTTACCACAAAGAACATAAAACATATTTTTCTTGCAGAATCTTACCCTCAATGTGTTCAATTATTTCTATATGCTGTACAAAGGAATCATGTCTATATATTTTGTATTGATATTTGACTGTGGCATAATAAATCACACTGGCATATACTTGTACTACAACGACACTGAATTAAGCAGGAACAAAAACTTTGATGCAGTTCATGTTTTAATTATAAATGTATTACATAATATAACAAACATATATCTCTGTGGTGGAGATATCCTGGGCAACATCTCAGATCTTGCCTCAACCTTCACTATCACCCTTATCTGTTTGGATGAGGAACACTAGGTAGCTTCTGGTTCACTTTTATTTCGCTTTCAGGTATTAAAATGGAGAGGGGATTTCTAATGCTTAGAAGTGTCTAGAGGTCGCTCGGAGAAAGGTTTGCCTGCTCATCGGACGCTGAAAGGGGAAGTTCACCTGTGAGACAAGGCTGAGGCGTTGCAGTGATACATCCACCATTCTAAACTTCACAGTGCAAACAAGGAGAAAACCAACAATGAAAGAAAAACCCCTCTGACGATAAGATCACTGGTTCCAGCGGGTGACCGGACCCCAGTGGGTTTTTAAAAAGGTTACACTGCTCCCCCTACACTATTTAGATTGTGCTTTGTTGATTAGAAAACAAGACAAAGATAACCTTTCACTGAACTTATTTCACCTTTTCATGTGTAAGTCTGTTACACGTTGCATTTGGGGTGCACTTCCACTACCATCTGACCGGGTCTTCATTACAGTTTCTTATGACCAGGCCAGCTTGTGTGCGTCCAGACTGTACACATTCACCTTTCAAGTGTTTCTCTTTATATGGGAACAGTACGGCAAACTGGATAATAAGCTCTGTCACAGTAAAATCAATTGTGATACTTTGTCTCAAAATGTAAATAGAAATGTTAATGCAAAGCTCACAGGTAGATATACACAGGCTATTATATATATATATGTATGTATATTAATATAAACAATAGCCTGCTTCTTTACAAAATAATAACAGTGACTGTATTTCCACCTGTAGGAAATACAGAAGGATCTAACAAATGTCTGTAGTTCTCAAGATTTCCAGGAGATGGCACCATATTATTGAGTCTAACGGCTCAAGAATGCTGTAACTATAGATAGTCCTAAAGCAAAGACAAATATACAGTTGAAAGTTATTTTTTGGCACATTTTTCCTTTGTGTTTGTTTCTCACTGGATCACCTCATATCCAAAACTCAGAAACTGAAGGTCTGAAAAAGGAAAAAGGAGTGCTGCCGGACAGAGTGGAGGGTAAGGAGCGCAGACGCCATCTGGGAAGGGGTGTACGAAACAGTGACACTGCATAAGCTGTACCTACAGTCACAGGGGGACTTAAAGTCGTCTTGCAATACAAAATGTCTCGATGGTTTCCTTCCAAACCCTGTGGTAATCTGTCCGTCTGTCCATCCGTCTGTCTCTCCCTATTGGCAGAGCAGTCCACTTTCTGAAGACTTCACTCAGTACAACACAAGAATGCAGAACAATGAGGGTCAATCTGTAGAAGATGAATGTATGTGTGTATTTCTATATGTGTGTGTGTGCGTTGTTAATGTGCGTGTTTGTGTGACACAGCCACTGCCGGGAATCTCTGATGGTAATACAGTAAGGCTAAAGTGGACTAGCGCCAAAGATGTAAACCCTAACAATCATCCGTACACTCTCACTGTCACAGGCATCCTCGTCTCTCTCAAACAAATTCACACACAAATGGAAACAAACATTCGCACACACAGTCGTACACACATGGTGGAGAGGAACAACCACACAGAGTTTCAGGGAATCCAGATGCACGCATGCACTTGGACGATGGGTGGCTTTTATGTTAGCACCTTGTCACCTTGTTTTGTGCAAATCATCCCCTAGTTCATAGTTCAGAGTTCAAAAGTTTTAAGAGTTCATAGAAAGAATAAAATCTGCTCACCTTTTCCACAGGTGGTTAACTATGCATATATGCCAAACATTCATATATTTAAGCAATAGCTCACGACAGGCCGTGGTATATGCTCATTATATCACAGCTAAGGGGCGTGGTTCGGCCCGACGCGAAGCGGAGGGTCGACAAGCTGTGGAGAGATTTCTCATGGACGAATAGTATCCTTTTGCAGTTTATGAAATCTGAAATGAAACATATTCGTATTCGTCATTCGTATTCGTCCTGCCATGGCCATTGCATAAACGTTAAAGGTCACCTAATACTATTTTTCAACAATATATTATAGGTCTCGGATTGTAGCATGCCATATACGGCACCTCTGTTTAAAAAGTGTGGATTCCGTTTGTGTAGCTTTAAATGTAAATGGTTTGGTTTAAAAACAAACACAATGGTGCTTTAGGAGGAGATTCAGGTGATAAGGTGGGCGGGTGTTACTTTGGCTGGTTATTGGCTAATGGTTACAAAACACAAACAAATATTATGACATCACAAAGTGGCCAAAACCTGATCAGCTCATCTTCAGACAGGTTTTTATATAAATGGATCAGGACAAAAAGAGAGGGGATCTTTTTTCCTTAAACTCACAAAATCTCTTAGCACAGAGGGGACACATATTAATGTATGAAAAAGTGGATTTTGCGTAATAGGGGACCTTTAAAGTCAAGCTGGCATGCCTCCAATAAGTAGATATTTTTTCCCCAGAGAGCTCCTTAACTATTTCTACAGTCGTCCCCAGCAGTTGTCAACCTATGCTTTGACTCTCTACAAACACACAGCCACTGTAGGAAATAAGACAGTAGCCATTGGTATGCATTTAGAAATGATTCTGTTCTGCTCTCAGTGACCACAGGAAATACATTCACCAATTTGAAAATCAACTGTCAAGTTTAAATCAACAGGAGGTGATTTTTGTTTTTGATTCACAGATTTGTACACTGTTGTTTCTTTTGATGTGAAATATTATGTATTTAATTAAAATAAAAAGCAATGATAGTTTTGTTCACAATTTGTGTTAGTTAGTTTACCTTATTTTTTCTCTCCAAAAAAAACGATAAAAGTACCGTTAAAGCCGTGCCTATGTTTTTGTTTTCACTGCTAGTTTATGCTTATGTTCAATTAGTGCATTAACAAATCATTAAAATCATTAATGAAGTTTCAGCTCAGACCCCACGCTTAATAAGTCTCCCCCTGGCCCACCTACATTTCTCCAGGCCCACCCACACAATAATTCCTGGGTACGCCACTGCTCTGAAGCAATGTAAAACGGACTAATGTGAACAAATATTATAGCAAAATTACAATAATGTTTTTATAGATATAATATTATACATAAGCAGGATAGAATTGTTCCTATCTTATACGTGTAATGAACTCACTGAGTGTTCAAAAATGATTCAACTGTCACGCTGTTGTAACCCATGCCTTGCATATTTACGTGACAACACTCACGTGAATAAAATTGTGAGTGTCACATGCATGTAATGAAGTGTCATGGCGCTTTCCTACCGGCAGGGGTCGCAGCCCACTAACATATTGTCGGTTCAGGGAGGTAACGTGAGAGGTGTGATTAACCTGGGATGTTTAAAGCCTCTTGAAGCATCGATAAAAGAGGGGAACACCTCGAGAGAGGCGCAGAGGAGCCGCCGGAGACGCAGTTTAGCGCGGCAGAGACTTGCATGAGGACGGGCGAGCCAACACACCGCAGGAATGTGTGCCGTTACAGCCAAACACACTAGCTTGGACAATACTCAGTGTATTGCTCTTGGCTGTTCTAAAAGTCCTCTTGCAAAATAATTGGAAATTCGGGGCCACATTGCTGCTTCCCGACGGGAACCTATAACTGGAGAGGAGCCAGTGACGCGCTGAAAATAACCAGGTTACCACTTTGCACCGGTCCATTTTGGGGAGGGCCCAACATGAGGGCGCAGCACCATATATCAGCTCCTTCCAGCTGTTTGGGAATATCCTGCTCATAAAAGCCAGGCTGCAGCATGGCAGTAGCAACAGCAGGGTCCTTTCTCTCTCCGCGGCTGTCTCTTCCAGTATGGATATTGGGTGCCTTGCTGGGTGCGCACCGGGGATCTCTCGGGGGGGAATCGAAGAAGATTTTTTTTTTATTAAGAGGGGGGGCGCGACACTGTTGCATGTTTTTCACCCCTGACAGAGAGGAAAATATAGGCCGGGGGGGGACTGTCCGACTTCTTCTGAAAGACAATTTGTCCCCCCCCCCCCACCCCTCAAAAGGATAATCTTGCTCAATCTGGGATGCATGCAACACCCAGTGATCAGATATTGCTGCGGTGGCGGTGGTGCTGGAGCTGGCGGTGGATGGACGGTGAAGTTAAACTTCTATTGCAGACGCGATCTCCTTCAATCAGCCAGACAACCAACCAGACAGGCGGCGCTTTTTACGCAAAGTCCCCATATGGCTGCGGGATGCTGACACCTGCGCGGATCGCAGGTAACAACAACCGGACAGCATCGCCTGCTCCTGGAGACACTGACAGATCCATTGGTATGTATCGGCACGGAAACAGGTTAATGACCCTACTATTATAACACCCGCATTCCTTCATTACCTCGTCTGGAAGTCAAATTTGGTGGTAGGATATTTAAGACATTTCCAGAATCCATAGGTAAACCTTTGTAGTTTCCTCTACGCCGAGTCCCCAGTGATGGGACTGATGATGACCATGACGATGATGATGATGGTGTGAGTTAGATGCTGGGTCTTTGCGGGCAAGGTGAGTCCTCACTTCGTTCAACTGGCCTACAAAGTCCCAGTTTCTGGCTCATGTAACCACCAAGTTATTGCAAATTCACTTCTGCTTCGTATTAGGAAAATAAATAGGGAACAGATGGGAAGTCTTACGGATAATATAAAAAGTTTTTTTTTTAAAGCACACGCACATTTCGGCAGATAAAGTCTCACCAAAAACGCTCGATAAGGTCAGTAAACACACCAGTTAATAACTGCTCTATAATATTTTGTCGGGAATAATATGGCGATACTATCAAAGAACAAAA